CCTCTCTCTCTCTCTCTCTCTCTCTCTCTCTCTCTCTCTCTCTCTCTCTCTCTCTCTCTCTCTCTCTCTCTCTCTCTCCATTTCTCCACAGACATGAAACATCACCGCAGCCCCAACCCATCTCTCTCTCTCTCTGCCCATCATCGGATCTGACTTTCTCCCGAAAACCCACAATCTGATTTCTTCGAATTCTCCAAACACGCGGAACCCCTAAATTCCACGACTCTCTCTCTCTCTCTCTCTCTCTCTCTCTCTCTCTCTCTCTCTCTCTCTCTCTCCATTTCTCCACAGACATGAAACATCACCGCAGCCCCAACCCATCTCTCTCTCTCTCTGCCCATCATCGGATCTGACTTTCTCCCGAAAACCCACAATCTGATTTCTTCGAATTCTCCAAACACGCGGAACCCCTAAATTCCACGACACAAATCGAACACCTAGTCTCGACAGATTCTCCGCCTTTGACGAGAAACTCCCTGAAACGTCTGAGATTTTGGGCATCCCTCCCTCGTTGCCCAGATTCCGGCGGGGCATTTTCCGATGGGAATGCCTTTGCTTTCCTCTGTCACACGACAATGAGCAAACCAAACGACGAAGAAGACGAGGAGGAGGAGGAGGAGGAGGAGAACAACTGCTTCTACGAGTCTCTTGATCGCTTGGTCTCTTCCTCTTCCTGCTCCGCTTCCAACTCCGATTACGATTACGATTCCGAGCCCACCAATTCCGATTCCTCTCCTCCGATCTCCTCCGCCGCCGACACTCGTCGTCGTCGCAACCCATTCCCCGTCCCGCGGTTCCCAATGGGTGCATCCAGGTTCGACGTCTGGATCTCTGAACCAGCTTCTGTGTCCGAGAGGCGTTCGAGGCTTTTGCGCGAAATGGGTCTCAGCCGCGACCGGGGCGTCGTCCGGTTAAAACCCGCATCCGCCGGAGAATTCGGGGACTCGTTGGATTTTCCCCGATCAGCTTCGTCTTGTCAGTTGACCCGGCGATATCACGGGGAGTGTTCGGGAAGTGTCGGCGACGGCGCTTCGGGCGTGGTGAGATCGAAATCCGACGGTTCCGCCAATCAGAGCGGCGACAACCGTGATCGTCGGCACCCGCAGAGTAGTTCTTATTCGTTTTCGTGTTCCGATTCTAAAATCTCTGTTCCCTCGCATGCGGAGACCAGCAGGTTCAATCCGCAATCTGTAAATACTAATGGTGTCTACAATGTGGATAATGGCGACAAGGGTCATGTCGCCGACAGATCAGTTGATGCTGATCTTGTAATGATTCGTGAGGGAACTGGGGGTTGCCCTGGTGAGTGTTTCCGTTTAAATGGAAACTCTGGGTGTGATTCTTCTTCTTGTGTGTTGAGAAACCCTAATGGCAGGGTAGATGAGCAGGAAGTGGATTTGAGTGAGCAAGTGTGCACTATCAAGAATCTGGATAATGGGAAAGCTTTCGTGGTGAATGAGATTCAGGAAGATGGGACATGGAAAAAGTTGAGGGAAGTTGGAACAGGAAGACAGTTGACCATGGAGGAGTTTGAGATGTCTGTGGGGCATTCTCCCATAGTCCAGGAGCTGATGAGAAGACAGAATGTGGAGGATTCTGACAAGAATGTCATGAGTTCCAAGGAGAACGAGGAAAATGGTAATGCATCCAAGGTCAAGAAAAGAGGAGGGTGGTTTCAGAGCATGTTAAAGAACGCTACGAGCAGTATGACGGGCAGTAAAGAGAGACGGAGCAGTGATGATCGGGATACATCATCTGAGAAAGGTGGGCGTAGGTCAAGCTCCGCGACAGATGATTCCCAGGATTCGTTCTTTCACGGGCCGGAAAGAGTTAGGGTTAGACAGTATGGGAAATCGTGTAAAGAACTCACAGCATTATACAGGACCCAGGAGATTCAGGCACATACCGGCTCTATTTGGAGTATTAAGTTCAGTTTGGATGGTAAATATCTTGCTAGCGCTGGAGAGGATTGCATCATCCATATCTGGCAGGTTATGGATGCTGAAAAGAAGGGAGAGTTGTTGCTGGATAGACCGGAATTGTTGCTTTTGGCAAACGGGTCACCAGAAACGACAACAATGTCTCCGAGGAGAAGAGGAAGAGCATCGATAAGTAGGAAATCATTGAGCTTGGAGAACATAAAGGTTCCAGACTCGGTTTTCGGGCTTTCAGAAAAACCCTTTTGCTCCTTCAGGGGACATTTGGACGATGTTCTTGATTTGTCATGGTCCAATTCTCAGGTCACAGTCCCTTCCTCTAATTTTTTTTCTTTTGTTACACGAAACAATTGCGTGGAAAATTGGCCAAGGCATGGATGGAATTCCAGCCCTCCTTTGCTGCAATGTGTAGAAGAACACCGTATTTTCGCAAGATCATCGAGTGTAGCCACACGATTTTCTTTTTGGTTGCTTCTTGATGCTAAGAATTAGGGTTTTTTGGTGTGACTTGCTGGATAATTTAATCAGATCAATAGAGTATGAGAACTTTGGTTGTTTCCACCTGACACAGACAATAACATAAGATGCTATGTTCGACAAGTTCCTTGTCTAGTAGGAAACCGAAAAACAAAAGAGTGAAAAAGAGCTTCTGTTTTCTTGTTTCTGCAGCACTTGCTCTCTTCATCAATGGATAAAACAGTTCGTTTATGGCACCTTTCCAGCCAGACCTGCTTGAAAGTGTTCTCCCATAGCGATTACGGTTAGTATATTCTTTACTGATCGACCCATCATCCTAAAACATGTTCTTTGATGTGTTTCTGACAATTTTTGTTTGCTGGATGTTCCATGGAACAGTGACATGCATTCAGTTTAATCCGGTCGACGATAGATACTTCATCAGTGGATCATTAGATGCAAAAGTTCGTGTCTGGAGCATCCCGGACCGTCAAGTTGTCGACTGGTACGATCTCCATGAGATGGTCACTGCTGCTTGCTACACTCCGGATGGTCAGGTAGACCGGTCTTTTTTCCTTTTTCTCGTATAAATCCGGTTTACGCATCTCGTGAAGAAAGAATCTCTAGTTTCTGACTCGTAAACAATACCGATGATCTAATCTCTTGAAGGGTGCTTTGGTCGGTTCTTACAAGGGTAACTGCCGCGTGTACAGCGTGTCTGGTACGATGAATTCCCGATCTTTTTTCCGAATCTCTTCCGGGTTTTTTTCGCTTTTCATTTACTTAAAAGCTGTGTACGGATGTTTCCAGAGAACAAGCTGCAACAAAAAAGCCAAATCAATCTACAGAACAAGAAAAAGAAGGCTCACCACAAGAAGATTACGGGTTTTCAGGTAAACCACAAAGATCCGATGAGTTTTTTCTCGGGATGAAATGTATGACTTTCGGAAAGTTGCTTACTTTGTTGCGTAACTCATGACAGTTTGTGCCTGGAAGTTCATCTGAATTGCTTGTCACGTCTTCGGATTCGCGGGTTCGTATCGTCGATGGTTCAGATCTGATGTACAAGCTTAAAGGTGATGATCGATTGATGATGACGACCCTTTCTCCATCTGTTCTGTTCATTCACGTGCCTAAAGTTCTGACCTTTTTTTTGTTCCGTAGGGTTCCGGAACACGAACAGCCAAATCTCGGCCTCCACGACAGCAGACGGGAAATATGTGGTCTCGGCGAGCGAGGACTCTCAGGTGTACGTATGGAAATACGAACCGGTTTCCCGACCAAGCAGAAGCAACAAAGGCGTGACGGTTACAACCTCATACGAGCATTTCCACAGCCAGGACGTGTCGGCGGCTATCCCTTGGCCGGGCATGGCAGCTGTTCCAGACACATGGGGAGAGATCCGGAACAGAACCGGGTTCGGCAATAACAGCAGCAACCTGGACGAGGTTTCCACAGCAAACCACCCGCCGACGCCTGTGGACGAGACGATGGACCAGGACGGTTACAGGAACAGTCCAAGGAACGGGATCGTCTCGAGCGAGACAAACGGGTATCTGTTCGACAGGATCTCGGCGACATGGCCAGAGGAGAAACTCACGTCTGGAAGGAGGAACCAAGGAGGCAGCCCTCGAGTGAGTACGGACACATCGAGTAGAGTGGTTAACCAGAACATGTCGTCTGCTTGGAACATGGTGATCGTGACTGCCGGTCTCAGAGGAGAGATTCGAACCTTCCAGAACTTCGGATTGCCGATTCGGATTTGAAAAAAGTGTACAGAGAGAGGAGCGAGGTTTGTACTGCAAGTGAGTTTTCTATTTTCTATTCTATTCTTCTTCTTCTTCTTCTTCCATATATAGAAGATTCGTTTGGAGAGATGAAGAAAAAAGAGGAAAAAACCATACTGTGAGTTTTAGAAACCGATGTTATTTGTAAGTCGGGGCTTTGTAGAGAGTTTACAGAGACACGAACAAGAGTTCATTGAATTGGAAATAGAAAAAAAAAAGGGAAGATTCTTTTGTTTTCTCCTTGTGTTTTTTCGCACCGGACAAAGAGAGAGCCTGTGTTTTCGTTCGATTTCGGCCTTGGTTCCTTGGGTTTTAGGGCTATGTTACTCGGTCTCAACCTCTTTTAGGTATCTGCGGGATGCAACCAAGACTCGGGTATCCACAGGGTACTCGGCTGGGCGAGGGTTGAGATTTCGGGAAAAGAGGGAGCCAGCAGGGTCTCGTATCACAACGGCGGCTGTGGCACAACTCGAATACCCGAGGGCCTCTGTGTGTTCATGTCCAGTCAGTTTTAACTGTAAGTACGTAATCTGACATTGCGTTATCACTCAGAGCTTGTAACCCGAGTGAAACCGAGCTTCCCTCAGTCGTTCATGTCATGGAGAATGCAGGGCATTCTTCCGACACATCAGAAAATCGAGATCGGACGGATCTCCTCTGCGCATATTTTCCCCTTGCGAGATTGAGTTTCTCTGATCTGTCAGGTAGAAACGAAGCGAATGCCTTGGCTTCGTACAAGACACACTTTGGGAGAAATTTCAGACAAGACTCCTATGTTTCTATGTTTTAATGATGATGATGACACTGGACAGGACATGGAAACACACAAGTTGAACCAACTGGTTCTAAGTCTTATTACAGGGACAGGTAACTGAGTTTCATCGCTATTGCGGTCATAATCTCTCACACACGAGAACGCAAAAAATCTCGGGCCCGAGCAAAAGAGTGCATTGTACAGAGAAATATTACAGACAAAAAGAAAGTGGGTTTCGAGCTCGGAGTTTCGAGGAATGGAGTGTTTCTATTGACCTGGAAGTTTGTCCTTTAGGTAATTCAACACAGCTTTTGTTCCTCTATCCAGAATTGCCCTCCTGATGCTGTTTCCAGAATGTTGCCGAGTAAATAAACCGATTCTGGAAGAATTTTATTAGAAAAAAAGGAAAAGGACGGAGACGGAAATACCTTCGCAATGGGTTCCCGTCAAGCCGTAAAGCCTCGAGGGTCGGTTCAAGCAAGCCCTAAGAAGATGAACATGCAGATACAGGACCGAGTTAAAACACGTTTCACCCATTACGTTTTGCTCTTTGTCAAGGTTCATAGCTCATACATGCAAAATCCATTTGATCCCCATCTTGATATTACATATACATGCATACAAACACATATATATATATGTATATTATAAAGATATGTGTGTATATTGGTGAATGTATATGGCGAGTACCAATTCTGCAGGGAGGGTTGAAATGTTGTTGTCAGACAAGTCGAGCTCTGTCAGAGAAGTCATGTTCTTGAAACTCTGCATGTTTCAGACAAGATTTTTTAAGGATACAAATCAACCGCTTATGCATTGAAAACATTATATGGGTTTCGTTAAGTAAGACGATGCATCGGCTAGACCAAAACCGACGGGTAGAAGATCATCATAAGTTCCTGGATGTTACAGCGTCGGGTAGAAGAACGTGTAAATATATACCTCAGGAACTGATTGAAGTGAATTCTGGCTCACGTCCAGGATTTGCAGATGAACTAAGTTCATGATATCTACGGGGATAACGCTCAGTTGCACTCTCCTGTCAGATAGGTTTAATCGGAAAAAGAGTGCAGATCGTTATACGTCACAATGAAAAAATAAGGAAACCGAAACTTTGCAGGAAAAATGCCCGAAAGAACAAAAGATAAAAATCTTGTAAATAACCTCAGATAAAGCTCTTGCAGAAGTGGGAGGTCACAAAACTTGGGATGCTCCCTCAGTGAAGCTGCATTGCCACTTAGATCAAGAATCTGAAGCCTAGAGATTGCTTGAAATCCATCAAACGGGATCTAAGTGCAAAACAACCCGAGAATAAAACCCCGACATACTAATCTTAATCTTCAAAAGAGGTAAAAACTTTGCTAAGGAGTAGCGTAATTTACATCAAAATACCTGCTTCAAGGGATTATTATCCAACTTCAAACACACAAGATTCGGAAGCGGTTTCAAGATATCGCCGGGCCAATCTGTAATCTTGTTCCTCGACAAAACGAGAGTCTGCGATTAAAAAAACAAAAGATTTTATACAATTCCGCAGTCAAATAACAAAGTTTTGTTCAGGATCTTTATGGAAAGCAGATAGAACAGATAAGTATATACATTCTCTTGAACTGAAGTTCTTCCATATCTACTCATAAGTATATATTCTCTCAGTAATGACATAAAGAAACATGCTTCCGGTGAAAGAGACGAGCAAACAAGAAATGAACCGGTAGAATTACCTGAAGGGTAACGCAAGAAGAAAGCTCGGAGGGCAATTCCAAGACAGAATTCTTAGAGAGATTGAGCTTCGTGATTCCATCAGATTCCCATACTTCCGAAGGGACAACATTCAAGTTCAGATCTTCCAGAGACAGTTCCTGGTTGTGTAATGTAATGATCAAAGCAAACATCAAATTTCCAGTTTTTTTTCTTCCTTTTTTTGTTAAAAGCATGATAGAATAGTGCTCAAAATTCAAGAGGGTTTTTCCAGATTCATGATTTCACCGACCTTTGAACTAATGGACATACGGGCAGCTGAAGCAATCACATCTTCTTTCTTCGGAGTGCTTACACTTGAATCTAGAATTGGAAGCTTCATGTTAATCAAAAACTGAAATAGAATCATGCAGTATAATAAAAAAAAAATACCTTCATTTTCGGAAAGCCGGCTTCTAAGATACTTCAATAGAGTAACTGTAGGACCATTCACCAAGGAGCTGCAAAAAAAAAAAAAAAAGCTTCCTGAAGCAGCAATGACTGGAATGAAAAGAAATAGAGAGCCGAAGAGAAAAAGGGTCGAAATGAAATACCTTCTAAGGGTTCTCATAGGATTGCCAGCAAGGACAAGTTTCCTCAGAGTAGTCATCTTTCCTATCACATATGACAGGGCAATGGGAGTATTCAGTTTACAAGGTTTTATGTTAATAATATCTAAAGCATCGTTGCCATTGTATCTTTATAACGAGCAGACGGACCAACGGAAGTTAAAAGATCATTTTATAAGGTTATATGTATGTATATATACGAGAGCATCTAAACTTCTAATCTCACCGAGCTCAGGATGCAATCCTGCCAATGAATTATTCGAGAGATCCAGGTAGGAAAGCTTCAATTTACATGCCTCAACTGGGTATTCTTTGAGCTGCATAAATGATATAATGAATTGGAAATTAACAGAGTTCATTTTCAGATAGAGTAGAAAGAAATTAAATCAAAACAAGTATTTTTCTCAAGATAAAAGGTCAGGACGCGACATAGAATGTAAGGATGCCAATAATAGGCGGTGGCTCAAACTGAGGTAATTTTACTGCTCTGGTAAAAATCACTGATCTAAAAAATAAATTCGGTAGCGATTTATTCTTGTATGCAATGAAAATGTTCTAAATTATGCAACAATAGAATGATAATGGTACCTGATTTGAGCGAAGATCTAAAGTACCCAGCCGAGAAAGTTCTCCAAGCTCTGCCGGTAATGTTGATAGTGAGTTATTTCTAAAAGAAGGGTATACAAGGGAACCGTCAGTAGAGAAAAAAAAATACATATTAATAAGCTTAGATTATATAATCGGACCAAAGGATCTGAATTTAGTGTTGATTGATAAATGAGAACTCACCCCATATAAAACTCCACGAGGGAAGAGCAGCCCCCTATTGATGGTGGAATGGACACTATTCCTGTTTGAACAAAACATGAAAAATGTTTTTTAAGTGCAAATGGAAATAATTAAGTTCTATTTCATCAGAAGAATAGTTCTTTATCTCTTACGGTTCTGATGAAGGTCAAGCCGGATAAGACGTGAAAGGGTTCCAATATTCTGTGGCAGAATGCTCATCATATTCTTAGCTGCAGAATGGAAGTTTATAGGAATCAAAAACAGGAGTTTGTTCATGAATCACTATGCATAATAAACACATAAATATAATGAAAGATTATTACATGCATTGAGTTCTGTGAGCATGGTCCATGATGCTATCTGCTTCTCAGACAGGGCAATCAGTTTGTTTCCCTGAAAAAAGACAGATATTAGCTCCATGAAATCATCCTTTCTAGCACCAAATACGGTATTGAATACAGTTTCCAACTTCAGAGTTCAGAGCTGAAGGAGAGAAACACTTAGTGGCCGTCATAGCCTTGAGTTACAAATCGAGACATGATTTCTTCTTATACCTCCACGTCTAGTTTAGATAATTTTGAACAGTTTGCAAGGTCTTCTGGCAAATTGGAAATGAGATTGTTTGAGGCCTGTAGAACATAAACCGCATGAATTTATCACCATAGGGAATATGATATAAAGAATAACCACAAAAAACTTATGATGTCAACCATGTCAGATAGTGCAATATACAAAAATCTTGCTTGAAAAATGTAATGCCTGCCTATCCATCACATAAAGCAGCCATGAAAGTAAGAGTTTTCAGACACGTGAGCTACGCTGTCCGTAACAGACAGGGGCACTATTTTGATGGTATCTCTACAGAGATCTATTTCTTGATAGATAGATTTTGGGCCTGACACAAAAGCCATCTTACAGCTGAACAATGAAATGCCCGAGAATGGAAAAACTGGAGACTCTATCGGCAGAATGAAAAAAATTGCATCTAATCCAGAAACAGCATAGATAACCTTCAATTCTGATAAATCCAAACATCTTCCGAGAGATCCTGGAAGTTCCTTCAGTTGATTGTTTGAACAGTCAAACCTGAAGTGATTGAATTTTGAAGCTGAATCAATTGACAGATTGTAAGGAAGGTCTTATAAATAAGGAGCAATTCAGGATGGAGGATCAAACCCACTTGACAAGAGAAGTCGCTGAACCAATCTGCTCAGGAACTTCTGATATCGAATTAAAGGACACATCCAAAGACTTCAATGCCGTAAGCCTATGGATGCATTGAAAATGGAAGATCTTAAACATTAGCAAAGATGAGTTATGGAATGTGGAAAAGGAACTCTTGCAAGACTTACTCCCCAATTGCAACAGGAAGCTCAGAAAGTTTATTGTGGCTGACATTAAGCACTACCAAGCAAGGCAAATTCCTAAGATCTTCTCTCAAAACCTCGATGTTATTATGTGCCAATATCAACTTCTGCAAATCAACAGCCTGCAAAGACGAGGAAAAATGTATGCTTTGTTAAACTTTCAGCACGTAATTTGGCATCAGCAAAAGGATTAGAAAAAAATTGCAAGAAACTTTATTACCTCCCACCAGTTCTCTCCCTCACCAGTTGCTTCCAAGTTTTGATATACCATTTCTGGTACATCGCTGAAAAATTCAATCTCGGGTCATCAAAAAATGGTGTTTTACAATGAAAATGGCAGACTTTACAGTTAAAACTACGGTATGATTTAAAGTGACCATCCTCAACGGTTTTCATCCCGACCTATTGTCGATGACTAAATGCCTCTTTTGATGAACACACACCTGAACAATCTAAACAAAAACGATTTCGTTCATAGCATGTATGGGTACACATACATCTAGATTCTCCGGTTTATCAGGCAATCTACAAGAACCGACTTGTGTCCTCGGCCTTAAATGCTGGGACTGAAATTGCATCAGAACAACAACTAACTAAATGAATTGGTGCAACAATGTGGGTTACAAAAATTACCAGAGATCCAATTTATGATTCAACTCAAACCCACTACAGATCCATTCGGTCTTTTTTTAAAGAACATGCATAGAAGCATCAAACATTGGAGACCTGCAACACCTTGATTCGTCAATTACTCTATGAGACAGACTAGTAAGCAGTAACTAAGTGAATATACGAGTGGACACAGGAAACAAAATCAATTCATAAACTTTTTCTCCACTGATACAACTCCTGAACACAAATTTCCATAAATCCATTAGGAAATTTCAGTGGTGTACCTCATATTCCATGTGATAAAATAATAGTAAACACCAATGATTATGGAAACAATTTCATGCCACAATGCGCAGAGCAAAAGCTAATGACGGAATCGTATGATGTAGACGACAAAACCAAACAGGACAAGTGAATCCGATCAGAGATCATATCCACATTTTAATCAAGAATTTAAAAGTAAACACAAGTAACCCACGAAAGAAACCATTGTAATCACACAGATCAAGTCGAAAAAAATCCGATTGTTCGTATGTTAACCCTACAATTTCGCAGCAATCCCAGAAAAAAAAAATTTAACTTTCGGTGACCCAGAATTGCCAGATTCAGACGATTGGAAGAAGAAAAATGAGACACTGAGGGAATCTACCGGAGAGAGCGATTGGAAAGGTTGAGCGAGCCAGAGGTCCGAGCAGCCTTTAGAATCCGATCCATTCACAGTGTCTTCGTTTTCGTTTCTCGTCGTCGTCGTCGCTCTTGAGTCAGATCTCTTCGGACAAGGTGTTACAGAGCTGTCCTGTCGAGAATTGGTTGCGCTTGCCGCGGTCGTGGGCTCCGGTCTGATACACGGGCAATCTTCACAGATACCACTAATGCGTCGCACATGTATCATAGATACATCCCAAAAATATAAAGAATTAACAAAAGACAAAGATGCCCTTATAAAAGTTGGAAAAGTCTTTGTTGCCCTTAATAAAAATGAACGTGTGAGAAAAAACACGTGTGCGAGTGGGTGAAAGTCCACCAGAGAAACACCGAGAGCGCGGGCGAAGTATGAAAATTTTCAAAAATCTGGCGAAATGGAGCGAAATCCACGGAGATCGAGCGTAGAAGGGTCACATGGAAGTGATTCATCTTCGTCAAGTGGCGAAGCCTCACATGGAAGTGATTCATCAGGGTCGTTCGAAAAAACAGATTCGCATAGAAAAAGGACCGAAGATTCTTCTCCGGATTCAGATGTGAGTATTTTTTTTTTCTGAACTTTCTTCGAATGGATAAAAAAAATGGAAAGAGAGTTGGTTTTTTATATAAATTCGAAACTTTTAGTTAATGATTAAACAGTTAGAATATGGTTGAATACAATCATTTATGTAAAAATAGTTCAGATTATGTAATATTTAGGGTAGAACTAAAAAATGACGAAGTATCTTTTATGAATGTATATTATTTAGTCTTATTAGCACCTTAAAATTGTGAAGTTGTGCATCTGAATTAGTTGTAGGTGCCACTAAATATTACAGAAATATTTGGTGTATGTCAGTCTTATTTCGACCTTAAAATTGGACAGTTGTTGTATCTTTGAAGTAGTTGTAGATGCAACTAAATGTTATAAGAGTGTTTAGTTTAAAGTCGTTTGTGCATAGTAGTACTTGGATATTTTGTAAACTAGTTGTTAATGCAACTGAATACACTTATTTTATTGCAGAGCGAGGCCGAGATACCACCGAAACCGGAATTTTATTATGATTTCGATGATATGAATACAATTTCGGTGAAAGTATCTTCTAAATGTTTTCACATCGAAGCAGTGGATTTTCTGGAAAAGTATTTCACCGAAGAAGAGGAGAAGCATTTCACAGAAAAATCTCAATTTAGGCATCTGTTTCATATGAAAAAGAAGCAGACTTTGAAGATGAGTCCAATGGTTGCGCTCATCAATCGTGCGGTGAAGACAAAAAGGGAAAATGAACTGTGGTTCGTCATTAACGGAGTACCCATTAGATACTCTTTGTGGGAGCATACAATACTTTGTGGGCTGAAGGGTTCTAAACTGCCTGACAATTGGGAAACACTTGGAGGGACCAATTTATATAGAAAATACTTTGGTCAAGAAAGCTTCGAAAAAGTTCCGAAGACGCGAGTTATGGCAATGTTTTCAGAATTGCCTAAAGATGAGACAGATGATAGATTGAAGATGGCATATTTGTTGTTGCTAAGTTATGTGATAGGACATCAACATTCGGAGTTTGTTAATCCCTTTTTGCTGAAGATAGTTGATGATGTGAAGTGCTGTGAAACATTCCCATGGGGAACATTCACCTTCCAGAATGTTCTTGGATCTGTGCATAATTACTTGAACAAGCACAGAAAACCGGTAAATCAGTGGAATTTACCAGGTTTCATAATCCCTCTCACTGTAAGTTATTTAAATTAATTGATTAAAGTGTGAGATATGAAGTAATACATTATTAATGTTGTGTGGTTGATATTGCAGATGTTACCATTCGAGTGCATTCCTAAACTTCGCAGCGATGGATGGTACAGTGAGGTGAAATTGGAAGGAAATGTGACTGAGGCATGTCCAAGGATGTGTAGAAGATGTTTCATCCCGAACAAAAAGTATGGAATGAAACAAGGGTTGGCAAAGATCGGCAAGACACAGGTATGTTTCTGTTGAAATAATAATGAAGTAGATGTTTTGTAGACATATTAAATTTTTGTTCATTCAATTAAAGGACATTGAAAGCTATCTCCAACCATCCAAAGGTGAAGAACGTCTGCTTAGGGGTGTTGCAGTGAGGGATAAAGAACCAGACGATGTTATTGATTGTTGGATGGCTTATTTGACTGAGGAGCCAAGATCTGTGAAGTGGCATGATATTCTCGAGGAAGATGTCAGATCTCGCATTGAAGTTCCATTGATGAAGCAACAGAACAAAAGGAAAGTGATTGTTTCAACTAGAAAAACTGAGAAAAAGAGAGGAAAAAGTAATAAAGGCAAAAGACTCATCAACGAGTATGAAGAAGAAGAAGAAGAAGTGGAAAAAGAACGAGACTATAGTAAGGAATTGACCATGTTGAGATCTGAAATGAACATGATGAGATCTGAGATGAGGTTCACGAGTTCAAAGGTTGAAGTTGTGAGAAGGAAGTTGGTTGAGACAGAAGATAAGTTGTTTACTGCTATTGAAGATCAAGGTGCACAGATAAAGAAATTTGAAGAAGAAGTTATTGAAAACATGAAGAAAGTGATTGTGGCCGGTATAATCGCATCAGGTAATTATGACAATCTCTTTGAAGTCGATGCTAAAATTGATGTTTTAATGAAGAAGATGACCGAGACTATGGGTGGGAATGAAAAGGGTGAGACTTCAGCCCAATACACAACAACTCCTCCCGAGACATGTCTGCATAGAGAAGATGTGGATGGTGAACCGGACATGGTGATTTTTGATGTTCTTAACGCATTAGACCAGACAGAAGGAGTGGAAGAAGAAGAAATCGTAGTAAGAGAGTGAAAAGAACAAGAAGAAAAAGATGATCCAATAGTGGTTGAAAGTGAGAAACAAGAACAGAGAAAGGAAGCGGAGAAAGAAGCAGTCAATGAGAAAGAGGGAGGAGTTGAGAAAGAAACTGAGAAAGAGGGAGAGAAAGAAGCGGAAGCAGACACAGAGGGAGAGAAAGAAGCTGAGAAAGAGAAGGAAGCAGACACAGAGGGAGAGAAAGAAGCTGAGAAAGAGAGAGAGAGAAAGAAGCACACACAGAGGGAGAGAAAGAAGTTGAGAAAGAGGGAGAGAAAGAAGCAGACATAGAGGGAGAGAAAGAAGCAGACAAAGAAGATGAAGAAAATGCTCAAGATGAACAAGAAGAAAATGATGATGAAGATGAAGAAGACAACGAAGAAGGGGATGAGAAGAAACAAGAACAAAAAATAGAAGAGATGGAAAAGGTAGAAAGGCCAAGGAGAACTTGTACCTCGTATAAAACGACGAGTCCTTGGGCTGATACTTTGAAGACTATCAATTCGAAGGGTGGAATCATAAGAGGAAGAGGAGGAAGAGGACGAGGAGGAAAAGGGCGAGGAGGTTGTGGAACAAAAGGTTTGTGAATGTTGGTCTCGTTTGTCGTATGTATTAATTTTGAACTCGGTTTGGGATTAGATGTGTGAACTCGATAGATAATGTTAAGTATGAACTCAGTTTGTGATATCTTGTATGTGTGAACTATGTTTGTGTGAATTTTATGGTGGTATGTTGTGTGACACTGATCTCTACAGGTGACCGAAGAAATGGAAAAAAGTATCAACACCCAGACTTGAGCATAAATGTACAAGTATAAATAGTTGCATTTACTACCAAAAAATGGTAGTAAACGAAAAGTGGTAATTGTGATCTAGTAGTAGTAGTATTCGTAACCAAATATATTGGTAATCAGACTTGAGCATAAACATACAAGTGTGGATAGTCGCATTTACCACCAAAAAATGGTAGTAAACGAAGAGTGGTAATTGTTACCTAATAGTAGTAGTATTTGTGACCAAATATATTTGGTATCAGATTTATTTATTAAAAAAAGTCAAACATCTAAAATAATAATAAAAAATCCACGTAGACAAAATATTTAATATGAAGTCGACGCGTGGATAATAGACTTGCATGAAGTGGGTCCAATTTAAAAAAATCGCGCGTTTTGCCCATTTTGTCTTATTATGTGTAAAACCCAAAATTTTACGACTTAATTACGACTTATTTGGCACCAACGAATTTTTAAAAAATTGTTAATAAATTGCGATTTTGTCGGTTAATTTTATCAAATGATGATAAAAGTCTTCCAATCAAATGATAATAATCGGTTTATATTAACATTTTTAACAAATTGTATATTTTGTTGAATTTTATTCAAAATGGTTGAATGTGTTAGTATTAGGTTTATATAGATTTATTGTTACATGTAAGAAAATGAACAAGTTTTTAATAAATTTGTTAGTTATGATTTAAAATTCTTTCTTTTCATATAATTAGTATATATACATCACTTCTGAGAAGAATATCGATAAATACATGTTTTACCTACATATTTTATTGATAAAATACACGTTTGTCGAAGTTGCAAAAAACGGTAGTAATCGAGTTGTAAAAAATTGGTTACGATAGACAATACGACAAATCCACACCGTTTTCGATATGTCAGATATTTGACTTTTTTTATAGGATTATTTATTTGTTTTAATATATTTTAATTGTATTTTGACTTTTGACTTTTTTACTTGTTTTTTTATTGACGTTTTCATTCTTTTTCATCTCAATTACTTTTTGACAATTGCAACTACTATCTCAATATTTTGCATCTGTAACTTATACATTGCTACTTATTTACGACCATACATGATTTTTCAACAAACATACAAACGTTCATTCATCCCAAAATACATCCCAAAAATTATCAAAAAAACCATATCACAGTAGCGAGTCAAGGCTTACAAAAAATGTAATTAACAGATGAAATGCTCAACATATTTCGTGTTTCACATTTCATCTTCTAATTGCACTCCGTTTCCATCACTATTCTTCATTTTCTTCGATTGTGGCTCATTCAAATCAGATTTACAGGACGAAGTCATCCTCGACTTCTTCCTTCGGCGTTTTTCTCCAACACTTGGTATCCTCTTCGTTGCTAGTCTGCCAAGACCTCGATGTTTCATAGCAGGAGGGTTGACTCTTATCTCCGCTATATAGTTAGGAATACTCCAACGAGAAACATCAGAAACCGGGTAAACAGAATCAACATATGCCAATTCCCATGTGGCTCTACTGTAATATGGTGAACAATAGTCAAGTAGCTTATCTTTTTCGCCGTGTTCATGCAACGCTTTTATTGCATGACAACATGGGTATTTTTGAATATCCCACACCTTACATTCACAACACTTCTTCTCTAGATCAACGAAATATGTCTTTCCCTCGTCATCAGTCACTTCATATTCCTTCCAATTCCGATTTATCTCCTTCACAGTAAATACCTTCGAAGTTCTATATCGTTGATGCAGTTTCTTGGAAACATACGGTGTTAATTCCTGAGTACTTGAAAATGCTCGGTTCCTGCGCTTACACCACCACTCCATCATTTTATTCACAATCGCATTAATCAAACCGAGCAAATGTAGTGTTCTCGCCTTCTTCAACACAGAATTGATAGACTCTGCACCATTGGTTGTCAATAGGTTATACCTTTCTCCGGGAAAGTAACATCTCGTCCATTTCGTAGGTTCCACACTTTTGTTCAAATATTCAGCCACTGTAGGAAACCTGCATTTGAAATCATAATATGGTCACTTCTTACAATAAGTCAATAGAATTTATACAGCTAATAATACAAATCAGATTTCCAAAACTCATACTTTTCAGTGAATTCCTCCCATAATGTTTGGAACTCCTTCTCTGTATAATACTTTGCACATTTATAGAATAACCCAGCGACAGTTTCTCCTTGTTTCTTCCTTTTACCCCGTACTCCTTTGTTCACCAATGTCTTGATGTTCTAGGATATGTGATATGCACAATATGCGTGTTTAGCTCTTCTATACACACTGCGGACGGCATTCGTTATGCTTTGATGTCTATCCGAGATCACAACCATATCATCGCTATCCAGAATTATTTCAACCAACTTCATCATAAACCAATTCCAAGATTCATCATTTTCTGAATCAACTACGGCAAAAGCAATGGGATATAAATGTCGATTTCCATCTTGGGCTGTTGCGACAATCAAAAATCCTTTATAAGTTGTCTTCAAAGATGTTGCGTCTACTGCGATTACTTTTCGCATTGCAATCCAGCCTCTGATACAAACACCCAAAGCAAAAAAGGCGTACTTAAAAGTTTGCTCGTCTTCTTCAAGTTGAATATGTGTAACTGTGTCTTTATTTCTTTCCTTCAACATATGAAAATAACTTGGAAGTCTCCTGTAATTTTCGCTCGGGTTTCCCCAAACACCATCAATCGCATTTTGTCTCCCTCTCCATGCCGTTAGGTACGATATCTTGCACTTATAAGCTTTACACACCAATGACATCACCCTTTTCACTCTTGGAAGATCAACTTGACCCGCGTAATGACGGTTCAAGTAATTAACAACCATGTCTATACTTCCAACTCTTTCTTTCGCTTCTTCAAGTACATGCGAGCATGTATGAACGTTAACGTGCTTCGTCACTACAAAACTCTGCGAATTCTTTTTTTTAAATGCCCGTAGTTTCCACAAGCAACCTTTTTCTCGGAATCGACATCTTGCTTCCCATACATGTCGATCTGACTTGTAAACGTAGTATTCAAAACATGAATCATGTGAAGCTTTCTTTACTTTCATCGTTAACTCAACCTTTTTCAGAAACTCTTTACCCACCGTAAAACCCATTCTGTCTTCAAATGAGAAATCTTCACGACCACCCTCATGTATTCGACCACCATTCTCAACTTCATTAAATGTCTCTGCTTCATCTGCTTCATCTATATTACCCATCTGAGTCGTAATTTCAACTTCAGTTTCGTTAGTCGCATGTTCCACTTCATTGTCATGTCGTATATCCTCATGCAAAGTCTGATGCTCAACCCGACAAGAATCTCCAAACAATGTATCGTGATTATGTTCTCTATCTTCTCCATCTACTCTTCCTAACACACAATCCACAACTAAACCGCATGTCTCAATTATATCTCTACCTTCTTTGGTATTTGCAATATCTCCACTCTTAGCTTCACCTACACACGTATTACATGCAACGCATTCATCATCATCCTTTTGCTCGACATATATCCATCATCGTCGCCCATTTGTCTTGCTGAACAAAAATGATTTTACACCCATATCGTCAAATATATATTCCGGTTGTTTTCCATCAACGACCATCGGTAAAAAGCTTAATTTTGGTGTCGCTAATTCCATTTTAAGCTGATCACATATACATCGAACAAGCTCCTCATATGTCATCTGACTTGCTTTGTTAGAGACACATATAGTCTTTCGATTGTATTCCTCTCCTTTCCATTCAAATATTGCATCTTCATTCTTTTCCCAAAAACCACCGTACCGAATGCAAATAGATGTGTAACAATCTTCATAATCATCCATATTCCTGTAAAAACATCAACATTTATCATTTTCCCCAAAATTTCGTTCTTTACAGCAATGTGTACAGTATTTTTTATTTCATAATATCAAACCCTATAACAGAAAAAACAACATAATAATACTCGAAAATCATTGGGTCTTACTTGAATCTTATATCTTCACCGAAATTTGCCTTCGATTGCATAATAAACTGGAAAAAAACTAAGATTTGGAGATGATTTACCTTTAATGGCGATGAAACAAAGAGAACACAGCAGGAGAAAAATGTCGACGGAAGAGAGAGAAGATGATGGAACTTGAAGTGTAGTGCACGTTTTTAATTTTAATTCATTAGGGTATTTTGGTCATTTTCTCATTTAGGTTATATATGTCATTTTACTTTAATTAGGATGTATAATCTGATAGTTTTTCTTTTTACATTTTGAAGGGTGTATCAGTGATAGAGATGTGACGCAAGAAGGGTATCTGTGAAGTTTGCCCCTGATACACATCTACCCTCTCTTTTTCAAATGAATCATGTCTTCCCAATTAATTATTATTTCTTTCTTCTCCCGAAAACCTTTTTTTTCTCCATCAATCTGAAAATTGAATTTTAAAAGTCCACAATTTTCTTTCGAAATATAAAAATATTGATGGTTACTGGTAAGTACATAATTCAGACAATTATATGAAATGGTTTAACATCGTCCACTTGAAGCACCGTATCGGTATTTACAATTTTTATTTCTGTGTTGTATTATTCAATATTACTAATTTCGTCGGGTAACCTAAATATTGTCCTAATTCTATTTTGGAAGAAAAAAATAATAATACCTAATCCGTTATTGTCTTATCGGCACAAACATACCAGTTAATTTAATTTTAATTATTTGGTTTGTATCTTTTTTTTTTCCAAATTTTTAAAGAGGACAATAAAAAAAATTTACTCTGCAAAAGACAAACCGAATCGAATCGATTAATATTTGGTTATAATTTGATACAATTTTTACATATTTGCATCGAATCCATAAATATCGAACCGAAAATTTCCACGTAATATGAAAGTTTTCAGCCCATAATAAAACCGGACTGTGTTATCTGGTTAATGTGTTGGGCCAATGCCCTAAAATTAAAAGCCCACAATAAACCCGACCCGAGACCCGTCATTTCAACCCGGTTTTGATTAATCATCGAAAACCCTAGCAACTGACTGACACACACTCCCTCTCTTCCTCTTCCTCCTCTTCCTCTCGTTTTCTCGCCGAGCGAACATCGGACAGAGAACCCAGAGATGGTGAAGAAGGAGAAGAGAGCGAATGTTTCCGGGAAACCTAAGCACTCGCTCGACGCGAATCGTTCCGATGGGAAGAAGAAGAGCACCAATGGCCGTACCGCCGCCACTGTCCGGCGGCTGAAGATGTACAACACCAGGCCGACGCGTGACACCGGCGGAAAAGTCATTAGCAACGAGTTCCAGTCTAAGGAGTTGCCGAGCACGCGAATCCAACCCGATCGGAGATGGTTTGGTGCGTTGTTTTAGTCGTATGATTGTTTTGTTCTTTGATTCGGTGTAGACAGAACTGAAGAGAATACTCTTATGGATCTTTCTTTGTCCACGCGAGGCTTGAATTTTTGGGCGGTTGATGTTTTGGGCAGGGAATACGAGAGTTGTGAATCAGAAAGAGCTGGAATTCTTCAGGGAAGAGCTGCAAACTAGGATGTCAAGTAATTACAATGTGATTTTGAAGGAGAAGAAGATGCCTCTCTCTCTTTTATCTGATCACCGGAAGGTAAAGGTTTTGTCTTGTTGAATTGGACTGTCGGAAACTATGTTCGTTGTCTAAATTATTAACTATTTCGTTCTTTTGGGGTTTTCGGTTGTTGTCTGAAGCAATCAAGAGTCCACCTCCTTGATATGGAGCCCTTTCAAGATGCATTTGGACCGAAGAATAAAAGGAAACGTCCAAAGCTTGTGGCGTCTGATTACGAGGCCTTGGTGAAGAAGGCGGATGAGTCTCAAGGTGAATTGATTTCTTTGCTTTTGATTGTTTTTCTCAATCTGGATTGAAATAGATTTTTGTTGGGCAGTGGAGAAGATTATTGCTTTTCTGGGTTTTTTGTTGTAACCCGTAATCAAGCATCAAAATTTTAGTTAGATGTAAGTTATGACTTGTTTTTTTCAACTTTGAAGATGCGTATGAACAGAAATATGGAGAGAGTACTTCTTCCGCACAAGGAGAAGAAGAAGACGGGTTTAGAGATCTGGTTAGGCACACTATGTTTGAGAAAGGACAGAGCAAACGTATATGGGGTGAGCTTTACAAAGTCATAGACTCTTCAGATGTTGTTGTCCAGGTAAATGTCTCTTGTTTAAAAAACCCATTTCAGGCCGAAACATCCTTGTTTCTCTTCTGGGTCTTTTCCTTTAATCTCATCCGGTTTTTGTGTGTCAGGTTTTGGATGCTAGGGATCCTCAAGGAACTAGATGTTACCACTTGGAAAAGGCATTGAAAGAGCATCACAAGCACAAACACATGGTTCTCTTGTTGAACAAGGTTGGCTATTTTATCTCTGAAACTCGGATGCACAAAGTTGGCTAATTCATGTTTGTGGAAAGTTGTTTACTTGGAACATTTGTGTGTCTTCTATGTGTTCTTTTACCAGTGTGATCTTGTGCCGGCTTGGGTTACAAAAGGATGGTTGAGGGTATTATCTAAGGAATATCCAACTCTAGCATTCCATGCAAGCATCAATAAGTCATTTGGAAAGGTATTTCGCCAATGATTTATAGTCTTAGAAGTTTTAGCATCAGAATTTACCTTTTTCTGTGCCTGCTTTTTCAGTATAGCTGATCATTTAGGCTGCTGAAATGATTCATCCTTTCAGGGTTCTCTACTTTCAGTGTTGAGGCAGTTTGCACGTCTGAAAAGTGATAAGCAGGCCATATCTGTGGGATTTGTTGGGTACCCAAATGTCGGAAAATCATCAGTCATCAACACATTACGCACTAAAAATGTAAGCATCGTGTATTAAAGTTTATGATATCCAGAACATGTATTCCTTTTCTTAAAAATTGTTCCTTTCTATTTCTGTCAGGTTTGCAAGGTTGCTCCCATTCCTGGGGAGACCAAAGTCTGGCAATACATCACACTCACTAAGAGGATTTTCTTGATTGATTGTCCTGGAGTTGTTTACCAGAGCCGGGATACCGAAACAGATATTGTTCTTAAGGGCGTGGTAAGTTTCCTATGCTCGTATCTTTCTGTTTTTTGGTCGGTACCGTATGAGAGAACATAGGAATAAGAGACAAGTAGAGAGATAGACTCACTCACTCAGGAACAAGTGATTAGTGGTGATTTGAAGTATCTACAAATTTTGGAGGACTTAACCCAAAACCGAAATGAATGGAGGAAGAGAATTCATACGCCGACCTCAAATAAACTTGGGATTTAAAGCGCTATTGTTGTTGTTGTCGTCATCGATACAATATGGTTGCTTATTTGTATATTGGACTGCATTTCTGGTTTTTGTCTCTCTTTTTTCCATCATAGTTCATGGCTTTCTGCCGATATTTCCATCGCTTTAGTGGTCCGCATTTTTTTGGGTACAGGTACGAGTCACGAACCTGGAGGATGCAGCAGAACACATCGGAGAAGTTCTGAAGCGTGTAAAAAGGGTGCACCTACAGAGAGCATACAAAATAAAGGACTGGTATTACTCATACAAGCTTAAGACTATACTTGTTCATGTTCTTTTATCATTTTTTCATTTGGGTCCTAGTCACGAAGTGGGGTTTCTTGTTGAATAAAACCCTTGTGAATTTTTCCACTTTTTGATTTTTCAGGGAGGATGATAATGATTTTCTGATTCAGCTTTGCAAGGCTACAGGCAAATTGCTAAGGGTATGTTTCTTGTTTCTACACAAAGTTTTATAGATATGTGATTTTGGATTTGTCTCGAAATCAAATATTACCGAGCTTGCTGATGTTATTTTCAAGAACGCAAATATCGGTTTTGCAATAACCGAGAGATGATGAATGTGCAGGGAGGAGAACCCGACTTGATGACCGGAGCAAAGATGATACTGCACGACTGGCAGAGGGGTCGGATACCATTCTTTGTACCGCCTCCAAAGCAAGAAAGTGAGACCTCGGAGGAACCCGCAATGTCGGCCATAGACAAGGAAGCCGTCGAGGGAGATAACAATCCAGCAGCAGTTGCAGCGTTCAAAGCCATAGCCAGCATCATGTCCTCTCAGCAACAGAAAACTGTCCCTGTCCAAAGGGATCTCTATGATGACAATGAACTCAACGATCGTAATGCAAAGCATTCTTCTGAATCCGATTGCCAAAAAGATGCCGACCATGAAGATAAAGAGATGTTATCAAATGAGGATGAAGATGAAGATGAAGATGAGGATGAAAATGAGGAATCTTCAGAAAATGAAGATGAGAACCAATAGGCGACGATAACAGCTCATCTAAAAACCCAGATTTTGTAGCTTCTCATAAACTTGTCCGTTTTTTTTTTATTGTCGGAAGTTTCTGTTTTCTGTAGTGCATCGAAGCAATAATCGTACCAAACCTTTGATCATTTGTTTGCCCAAAGACCATGAAACTTCGTTTGTGGTAATACAATGAAATTGTTGCAAGCATTAAGCTGTAGGAAATTTTCACCCGACAGATTCATTTAAGACCGAAGTTTTTTCTATTAGACATCATTAGAGTACATTTTAATGGTTAATTAGAATGTCCGTCATTGCCGTAACCATAGGTCCATAGGTTAGGTTTGAGTCTGACTCTCCGGCTGCAAGATAGGTGCATTAGCTTCGTCTGTAATCTGATTTCTAGCCCTCGCGGCGGTGGTTCCATCCTCCGACTCGTGCCAGGAATTCGGTGGACAGCTCCCGGCACAGCCTTGCACTGATGGCTAGTAAACCAGAGTGCAGCCACCAGAGCCAAACCCAGGAATTGTCGTGCCAGGAACCACCACACCAGGGATGGTGAGGCCGGGAACCACTACTCTGGGGATAGTAGAGCCACCCGAGCTGATACCAACTCCTTCCCCGAAGCCTCCACTCCCGCTCACGCTTGTTCGTCCCCATCATGGCTTCATGGTGCGAGTCCACGTCTCGAGCACCATTCATGGTGAGATCCATAAAGAGCCTACTTGCAAAAGTAAAACTGAAGCATAGCAAGAGAAAGAACCCAAAGCATTTGCCTTTGGGTCCCTGTGCCATTTTTTCTGCGTTGGTTGATAATGCTAGTACATTTCGAGTGAAAGATCACTGGCAAGTTTTATTGGGTACATATCTGATCTAAGAGAGTCGCCACACGGAAATCCTAAAATGCAGATCGTCTTGCGGAAAATGCGCATGGAAATAGGGTTCATGGATATCACATGACAAGAGATTCAACGCAATCTTGCAACAGATGGTATTACAAGAAAACTCAACTGATATGAGACCAAAGCCCTTCCATATTCAGACACTGCCATTGTCACCCTGTGCTTCAGCAGCTTCCAAACTCTCAGCCAAAGCACGATTTCTGTTCTGCGTTTGCCTTTCTACAGCAACCATGTACAAACCTAAACAGCATGGTTAAGAATTGAGAACCTAACTAAGTGATTGATTTGGAAAATAAACGAATTCAACCTCTAAGATCAGATGATTGAGATGAAAGTTCATACTGATTGCAGTTCCAATTGCACAACCCCAGAGAATCCTCAGCGACCACTTGTCGCTGATTACTCCTCTCGACGACATTACTTCACTGCAAAACACCAATCAAGCTATTTAAGAGACCCGAAATCCATCATTGGATCCGATTTGGGGGGCGACTGGCACAACCACGTTCCGGCAATCGAACGCGAGACGCGGGATAACGCGACGCTACCGTAGAAGGAGTAGCTGGAGAAACCGATCGTGAAATTAAACTGGAGGAGGAGCGAAATCTCACCGGAAAGAGACGGCGGCGTCGGCGGTTTGCACGGAGAGAGAGAGAGGGCGAGGCAAAATGACAGAAGAGAGAAGAAAAGGGGAGGGAATGCATTAAAAAGGGAAAGGATCAAGTTGTAAATAAGAAAGAATAGAGTACTAATATAATAATTATATAATATAGAGGACCAATATGTAGATATCACCAATATGGACGTCAGGTTTGCAATTATGAAATCTTAAATTTGGGTCACCGAAATTATGCCCTTCACTAGGGGTGGCCATTTCGGGTTTTGGTTCGGGTTCGGTTCGGTTATATTCGGGTTCGGTTATTTCGGTTATAGAAAAACTATAACCATTCGGTTTTTATATAAATTTCGGTTCGGTTCGGTTCGGTTATTTTTCGGTTCGGGTTCGGTTCGGTTTTGGTAAAAAAGTTCAATTTTTCAAAGAAAATTGTCGGTTATTCTCTCGGTTTTTTCGGTTATTTTTTATTCGGTTCGGTTCGGTTTCGGTTTCGGTTTTTCGGGTTTAAGGAAATCATAACCGTTCGGTTTTGATGTCGGGTTCGGTTCGGGTACGGTTATGTCTTATTCGGTTCGGTTCGGTTCGGTTATTCGATTAATAACCGAAATGACCATCCTACCCTTCAGTCCCTCCAATACTTTCAGAAAGAACAAATTTAAATTAATATTATTGATTTAAGTGATATTCTAATGTATAGGATATAAATTTATGGTCTTATATGATCTCTTATATTTACAACTAATAAAATATAATCAATTTATAACCTCTTAAATATTATATAATATGATAAATTATATTTAAAATTTTATATTATTTATATATATTTTTCTATTCAAATTTTATAGATTTTTATAATAAATTTAAATAAAATATTTTTTAAAATAATTTAGATAGATGATTAATTTTTTTTATTAAAATTAATTGTTGATTGTTTTTTATTAAAATTAATTGTTGATTGTTTTTTTAATTATTTATAAAATTAATGATTTTTTTTTCAAAATTAATAGTTAATGGTTTTTATAATGAATTTTAAATGAAAGATTTTTTTAACATAAATATGATAGCTGAAAGTTTTTTTTTTGTTTATCCCTATTTTTTACCCCATTTGTTTTACTACCAATAATCAAATTGTATTATTCAATATATATTATTACACAAACCCCAATTGATTAACATGTAAATCACTAATTCATAACAAAAATAAATGTAAATGACAAACCAATATTCACCCTAAAATGCCTATTTATTTTCATACTTTTCAAGTATAGTTTTATTGAATATCTCATTTATCAACTTACCATATTTCTTCATATAAACTCCACATAACACGTAATTATATTTATTTCTGATTTATTCGTTCATTTTTATATTGTAAATTCTATTAGCCAAGAAACAGAGCACATCCCTTTTGCTTCATCCTATCTGGGAAAAAAAAAACAGAGGCATTCTGCACAATACATTTTTTCTCGGATCAAGAATCGAAGATTCAAGCCATCGAAATTACAAAAAATGATCGGAAAGTTCGATGATCCGAATCCGTTTTCCGGCATAGATACGACCCTAGAAACACAACTTACCCGAGGAAGATGTTCGGACCGATCGATCATTGGGTAAGTCTCTGGACCTCGGTCTGATCATCGTCACCCAACGTCTCGAGCAGGAGAGGTGGAGCATATCGAGCAGTCCCTTGATGATCCTCAGAGTCCTGACAGTACGATAAAATGATCGTATCGATCGACATCTCGACCACCCCGAAGAATAACGTCGCCACTACGTATCCGAACCCCCAACAGACCTGAGTGTCATCGGGACAGCACAAACGAGTTCAAGATCATGACAAGACGACAGCTTTCGATCAATGTCTGAACATTAACCATTGACAGTTTCGAAGCATTTTTTACCAAGACGGGGAATAACGGCGACGAGACTTTGTTCCCGGAAGAAGATCGGTATTTGTCCGAATCCAACATGAGAAACCCGAAAATGGCGCTGAAGAGGCTGACGCAGAGCTTTCCGAGGAACAATATCACGTCTCCTATTACGTTCACCTTCCCTATCCTTAGAATGTTGTTTACGATGAGCTCTGTAGCCATGGCGGAAGACTTACAGAAGCTTTTCCCCGTTATAGCAATCTGCAAAGAGATGGCCCGACATCGATAAGTACATCGGGAAGGAGACAGAAGAGGTTCCGAAAAAAGATTTCTCGGGAGGTATACCGTTATGTATGCGTTGCGGTTAACAGACTTGATGGTCCACTCGACGGTTTTCAGACAACCTCGACAAGTGTAGTAAGCCATTTTCCCGAACCAGTTGTCAGGTGGGGTGCTCACTACTTTCAGTCTTTGACGTATGGCTTCGAGAATGAACCGAACCCACTCCACAAACGAGACGACGAGCGAACCGAGAGCCACAGATCCTAAGCTGTAGCGCAGAAACCGTTTCATCGAGGCGAAAACTGGAAGAAACGGGATCTCAGGCTGCATTTTTCAGACAAGAACTAAATCAAAATCAGAAAAAAATGCATCGATCGACATTTCCATATATACACATATATATGCACAAAATACTGTAGCTTTACCGACGTATCACCCCGAGCCCAGTAATACGAGGCAACAGAACCGGCTATAACAGCTGCAGAAGCTGCTACGAAGAACTGAGTAGCCCAGTAGAAACCGAACAGGTGGAAGAACACGGAAATAGCTATATGAGGAGTATAACGGATGCTATAACCGCAACATCGATCACAATTTACTTTCTTGGCCACCAGATCATAAACACAGCAGTTAGAGCTGCAGCTGTTCTGAACAATCTGACCCGAACTGAACAGATGGAGAGCAGCCGATACCCAGAACATGTAAAATATCGTGAGAACAGTGCATGGTATGGCCGGGAATATCATGAGGGCTTGAACCTCTCCGATGACTTTAGCAGCCACCTGAAAGATAAGGAAAGTGACATTCTTGAGAGGCACAAACCCGGAAAACATTTTTTTCTGTAGATAGATATCGTGACTGAGAAACTATACTTGCCTTGAGGACAGATGTCGCCATGAGGATGCGTCGGATAATGGCAATCGAAGTGAGGAGAGCGATAACCGAGATAAACGTCATCAGAACAGCCACAGCGCGAACATGAGTAAGCTCCTGAAAAATATGCGAGCCGATAAAAAGGCAAATTAATGGGAATCACTATATGTAAGAATTCAGACAAAACCAGATTCAAGAATTGAAGCTTACACGGCCATACACATGATAGTATGGATCATGCTGGCCAATAATAGGAGTTACAGCATCATTCCCGATCCATCCAGCTAGAAAAAAAACAGAGGAAAAACGCAGAATGTGAACGTCGTAAAGTGGTGAAACTTTTGGTATTATGTTTAAGCATTCTTCGAAAACAAAACCTTTCAAGTAATAGATTATCGTAACCGAGATCAGGAGCATGTTGAACAAAGCTACAGTTATCCAAGGCATGGCTGAAACAAAATGTCGAATGAGCAGAAGCCAAATAACAGAGAGGAATAGTGGCACGAGGCCTCCGCAAACAATCAAAACCGGCCATGACTTCCCGATGTCAGCCACGTAACGCTGCAATAACAACAACCGAAAACGTTTTAGATCGTCTTAATTCCGTGATGAAATTCTTTCTTCTAGTCCAAATGCCAAAGTTTTCACATTTTCAAGAAGGAAATCATTCACAAACCTTCAGAACTGAGGACCGAGAATTTATGGACCGATGAATCGCTTTGTCAATTATCATGCCCTCTTGGATTTTCACGCCGCCCATCTGGTTCCAATGGCGTAAAGACGAGTTTGATGCCCGAGCAATAAACTGACAGCTCCAGTAAACTACAGAATTACCCATATGATCTTTACCATTCTCCATTTGCAAACACCAAATGGAAGTGAAGTTAAACGACTAAGTAGACTTACCGTTCACGCTCGGGAATATTACAGGGTAACAAGGGCCTTGAAGCTGAAGAGAGGAATTCCGCATTTCGGGTGTAAGGAATTCAAAGTAATCATAGTTCCTGTCGATCCAATCGTTCAAACTGAGACGAATCTCTCCATCAGGATAGACACAGACCCAATTGAGGGTATCATCAGATGGTATAGGACAATCCAAAAGGCATATACTCCTTGCATTAGCCAACTTGAATTGCCCGTCTTTCAAACCGCTTTTGTAAACTTGGTTAGGATTCAACCAGTATTTAAGCTCGAGCTTAGTAAGATCACGATGAGGATGCTTGCTACCACATACATGCCCTTCATAGTCCAATCCATATGTTAGCCTGCAAGAACAAAAGATAGAAGCGCTTTAGCTGAGACATCAAAAGTAAACCACCGACACAGATACGGCTACAAGCCGGAAGATCAAACACGGAAGAAACTGCGTTTCTGCTTGATCAATGTACCATCATCACTATCGCTGCCATAATTCTTCTTCGTTCTATCAAGAAACACACTTAATGTACTTGAAAGCCAGAACAGCTAGCACAATGTCACTGAATAATTGGTGGCATAGAACAAATGAAAAGGGCATTTAGCTCTTCATAGACAAGTTTTGGATCTTTGGCAAAAAGGATCACATGAGGAACGGAAGTTACCAAGTTTGAACGGACTTGGAAACTATGCAGAGATAGAATCTTTCCCAAACAACAGCAAGAAGAACAATTGAAAGGTGCAAAATTTTAAGATGATGAAACAACAATCACACGACCCATCAACAGATAATGACGAACCCACGAGATAAGCTAACCAAAATGACAAAATCAGGGCAAAAAGATGGAAACACATTTTGAGGATTTTGGGAAGAGCAGATGAAAAGACCGGACTTTGTTCGGGTCTAACCTTAATGGGTTCCCTTGGTTGAAACCGAAGCTGGAATTCACAATCATGGAAATCCAGAATGCAATAAATACGACAAGGAATGCAATATCTCTGCATTTCCTGTTGTGCTTGATGATTCCATCATTTGGGGCACTCCCATCACTTGAAGGGTATTTCCCTATTACAGCTCCCAAATGTCCTCTCATGTCTTCCGCACTGTATCTATACCTGTATGTATACGCTTCTCTCTTCAAACCTCAAAAACCCTCAAAGAAAAAAGCCACTTCGGAGAGACAAGTCGAGACCTTTTTGTTCGACGGAGAGAGTCTCTCTCTCTCTTCTCTCCTCAACGCAGAGCGTGTGAAAGTATGGAAGGCGTTTATGTCTTTTAGATTGGAATATTTTTCCATAAACCCTTTTTTTTTAATTTTTTTTAAGACAAAGATATCATGGGGGTGTCAACTTTATATTGCAGAAGAAATCTGAAAGGTTCGAACTTTATAGCGGAATAAAAGAACCCAATGTCTGGTCTGATATTCCTTAAATATAACCTTATAAAATAAACACAATTGGATTTTTTTAAATCTTTGATCTGTTTGGTTGTATGGACTCAGACAAGTTCTTTTGTTCTTATTCAGTGTGAGATCTGAAAGCTCATCAGTTCCATTACCATATGTAATTATATAATCTACTTTAATTACAGTGTAAATGATAAAAAAAAAAAGTAATAAATATATTTATAAGATAAAATACGTAGACCGTAGATTTGCTAGTTAAAATCTGATAAATGGATGACGAATGATACAGAGAACACTAGTAACTACAGGGACTTCATGTATCTTATCAAAGACCAAATAACTAAATTATATTTGTTTAGGTATTTTATTCTTGCCACCTGCGTATGAGTAGAAGCCTTATCATTTAATTAACTTTTTTCCGTTGCATTGAATTCTCTCTTTTTCACTAATTAATTTTTTACCCCTCTTATTAATGTATGTGTGAGAGATATTTATTATATTCTTTTTTATCACAATGATATATATACATATAAACATTTTATTATTTCAAAGGGGTTGAACTTAAATCGGATTTCCACCCCCC